CTAGATAGGGTTTTGAAATGGTCAAAGGATTGGCAGATGCAGTTTAATGCTGATAAATGTAAAGTTCTGAGGTTAGGTAATGATGATAGAGTTACAAGATACGAGCTAGATGGTGTTGTGATTGCGAAGTCGGATTGCGAAAGGGATCTGGGAGTTATGATTAGTAAGAATTTAAAACAAAAGGATCAATGCATAAATGTTCGTAATAAGGCAAATCGGACACTTGGATTTATTAATCGCAGCGTTAGTAACAAGACACCTGGTGTGGTTCTCAAGCTATATCTTGCTCTAGTTAGGCCCCATTTAGATTATGCAGTTCAGTTTTGGTCGCCATATTATAGAATGGATATAAATTCACTTGAACGTGTCCAGCGTAGGATGACTAAGTTAATTCCCCAAATTAGAAATCTTTCATATGAAGAAAGATTAACAAAGCTTAAGTTGCATTCACTGGAAAGGCGAAGAGTTAGGGGTGACATGATAGAGGTTTACAAGTGGATGAATGGACATAACCGGGGGGATATTAATAGGGTATTAAAAGTATCAACACAGGACAGAACACGAAACAATGGATATAAATTGGATAAGTTTAGATTTAGGAAAGACTTGGGTAAATACTGGTTCAGTAACAGGGTTGTTGATTTGTGGAACCAATTGCCGCGTAACATTGTGGAGGTGGGGTCCCTCGATTGTTTCAAGCACGGGTTGGACAAGTATATGAGTGGGATTGGGTGGTTATAGAATAGGAGCTGCCTCGTATGGGCCAATAGGCCTTCTGCAGTTACCTTTGTTCTTTTGTTCTTATGTTCTTATGTTCTTAAGTTAAAAACGAAGCTATAAGAACATAAGAACATAAGAACAAAGGTAACTGCAGAAGGCCTATTGGCCCATACGAGGCAGCTCCTATCTATAACCACCCAATCCCACTCATATACTTGTCCAACCAGCGCTTGAAACAATCGAGGGACCCCACCTCCACCACGTTACGCGGCAATTGGTTCCACAAATCAACAACCCTGTTACTGAACCAGTATTTACCCAAGTCTTTCTTAAATTTAAACTTATCCAATTTATACCCATTGTTTCGTGTTCTGTCTTGTGTTGATATTTTTAATACTTTATTAATATCCCCCCTGTTATGTCCATTCATCCACTTGTAAACCTCTATCATGTCACCCCTAACTCTTCGCCTTTCCAGTGAATGCAATTTAAGCTTTGTTAATCTTTCTTCACATGAAAGATTTCTAATTTGGGGAATTAACTTAGTCATCCTACGTTGGACACGTTCAAGTGAATTTATATCCATTCTATAATACGGCGACCAAAACTGAACTGCATAATCTAAATGGGGCCTAACCAGAGCAAGATATAGCTTAAGAACCACACCAGGTGTCTTGTTACTAACGCTTAAGAACATAAGAACAAAGGTAACTGCAGAAGGCCTATTGGCCCATACGAGGCAGCTCCTATTCTATAACCACCCAATCCCACTCATATACTTGTCCAACCCGTGCTTGAAACAATCGAGGGACCCCACCTCCACAATGTTACGCGGCAAAATTGGTTCCACAAATCAACAACCCTGTTACTGAACCAGTATTTACCCAAGTCTTTCCTAAATCTAAACTTATCCAATTTATATCCATTGTTTCGTGTTCTGTCCTGTGTTGATACTTTTAATACCCTATTAATATCCCCCCGGTTATGTCCATTCATCCACTTGTAAACCTCTATCATGTCACCCCTAACTCTTCGCCTTTCCAGTGAATGCAACTTAAGCTTTGTTAATCTTTCTTCATATGAAAGATTTCTAATTTGGGGAATTAACTTAGTCATCCTACGCTGGACACGTTCAAGTGAATTTATATCCATTCTATAATATGGCGACTATACCTAATAAATTCCCTGTAACCTACCTTACCCTTCTATTGTCAACCAATGTCTGTTTTTTTTTAAAGAGCGCTGTTTGTCGACATAATTGTATTTGTGCGGCTTTTTCATCTATGTTTTCATTTCTTGTTTTCATTCTACTCATTATGCTCAATTAGTATTAAGCTTGTCATTTAAGTTTATCATGCCCGAAACGCTTTGCGTAATAGTGGCTTTAGGCATTGCATGTACTAGCTATACCTATAAGTCAACCATTCTTTGTAAAAATTTATTGTATGTGCCTTACCTAAATAAACATTTTATTTTATTTTATTTTTTTATTTTTTATTTTAAGATATAGTTTCACCGAAGAAAGTTCAACACCGGCCGATATAAATATCCCAGAACTAAGTCAACTCTCATACCAAGAATGGTTAAGGGTCACAGAGCTAACCTTATTTACTTATTTATTTATATACAAGATGGTATAACCACACTGCAAACCACGCATGACAGAGCGGATTTCACCGAAACGTTTAAAACACTGAATAATTTGGAGGATGTTGAACCAGACAACTTCTTCAAAATGTCAGATGCAACACAAACAAGGAACAACGGTTTCAAGCTTAACAAACCTCAATGTAGGTCTGAAAACAGGAGCTGCTTTTAACCCACAGGGTTATAAACCCATGGAACTACCTACCCGCCGAAGCCGTAAATGTCAAAACACTGTTGAATTTTAAGATCTAGCGTGAAAAAAATCATCAAAATAAATGGGGGGACCTTTGACAGGCCGCCGGCTTCTAACAAGAAGCGGCTTCCTGTCTTCGTCGAGGCCACTAGTGTTAGTGAATCATAAGAACATAAGAACAAGGTAACTGCAGAAGACCTATTGGCCCATACGAGGCAGCTCCTATCTATAACCACCCAATCCCACTCATATACATGTCCAACCCGCGCTTGAAACAATCGAGGGACCCCACCTCCACCACGTTACGCGGCAATTGGTTCCACAAATCAACAACCCTGTTACTGAACCAGTATTTACCCAAGTCTTTCCTAAATCTAAACTTATCCAATTTATCCATCCTGTCTTGTGTTGATTGTTTCGTGTTCTGTCCTGTGTTGATACTTTTTTAGTTAGTTAAGAACATAAGAACATTAGAACAAAGGTAACTGCAGAAGGCCTATTGGCCCATACGAGGCAGCTCCTATTCTATAACCACCCAATCCCACTCATATACTTGTCCAACCCGTGCTTGAAACAATCGAGGGACCCCACCTCCACAATGTTACGCGGCAATTGGTTCCACAAATCAACAACCCTGTTACTGAACCAGTATTTACCCAAGTCTTTTCCTAAATCTAAACTTATCCAATTTATATCCATTGTTTCGTGTTCTGTCCTGTGTTGATACTTTTAATACCCTATTAATATCCCCCCGGTTATGTCCATTCATCCACTTGTAAACCTCTATCATGTCACCCCTAACTCTTCGCCTTTCCAGTGAATGCAACTTAAGCTTTGTTAATCTTTCTTCATATGAAAGATTTCTAATTTGGGGAATTAACTTAGTCATCCTACGCTGGACACGTTCAAGTGAATTTATATCCCATTCTATAATATGGCGACCAAAACTGAACTGCATAATCTAAATGGGGGCCTAACTAGAGCAAGATATAGCTTGAGAACCACACCAGGTGTCTTGTTACTAACGCTGCGATTAATAAATCCAAGTGTCCGATTTGCCTTATTACGAACATTTATGCATTGATCCTTTTGTTTTAAATTCTTACTAATCATAACTCCCAGATCCCTTTCGCAATCCGACTTCGCAATCACAACACCATCTAGCTCGTATCTTGTAACTCTATCATCATTACCTAACCTCAGAACTTTACATTTATCAAATGTAAAGTTCATTAGTTAGTTTAGTTCATTTATTATGCACCCCATACCCATCTTGTGGGTGGTAGTGGAAAGGGCATGTAATGGCTGTTATCCCCTTTGTTATGTCCATTCATCCACTTGTAAACCTCTATCATGTCACCCCTAACTCTTCGCCTTTCCAGTGAATGCAACTTAAGCTTTGTTAATCTTTCTTCATATGAAAGATTTCTAATTTGGGGAATTAACTTAGTCATCCTACGCTGGACACGTTCAAGTGAATTTATATCCATTCTATAATACGGCGACCAAAACTGAACTGCATAATCTAAATGGGACCTAACCAGAGCAAGATATAACTGAAGAACAACACCAGGTGTCTTGTTACTAACGCTTCGATTAATAAATCCCAGTGTCCTATTTGCCTTATTACGAACATTCAGGCATTGATCATTTTGTTTTAAATTCTTACTAATCATATCTCCCAGATCCCTTTCGCAATCCGACTTCGCAATCTCAACACCATCAAGCTCGTATCTTGTAACTCTATCATCATTACCTAGCCTCAGAACTTTACATTTATCAGCATTAAACTGCAGACTCGGGTAAATTCAGGTAAAATATAAAAGTATATCTAACTCGTTTTCTTTGAAACGGTCTGAATAATTTGATTTCTGCAAATGAAATTTATCTGAGGGGTCACTGACATATATTGGTCTCGACGAAAGAAAGGATTAGTAGAAATTCTAAGAGAGAATCAAATAGTTTCCGACTTTCATATTATTTCACCTGTCAGCTAATGATATTAGGTGAACATGCTTGTGCTTTAATTTTATTTAGTAGCCCCTCATATATAATATGGTATTAGTAGTAGAAGTAGTACATTGTACTACCTAAGCTTTTAATCAAAACAAAATGCATAAATTCACTACACAATTGGGTTCTTATTTGCGTCTTATTTCATTGTAAAAGGAGTTAATTTTCAAACAGGGTTGTATAAATAAATCTTATCTTATCTTTGCATTCAATTTTGTACGGTAATTTTTCAAACTTAAATGTAAATAGCTATATATATATATACCCCCTCTAAATGAAAAATGGCCTAATTTAACATATGTGCTAGAAATATTAACATAAATAATTCGTTTGTTAGATAACAAGATATTCATAGCAATAAGGTTTCTTGGAATGGCCTATAATGCACGCAAATACTAGTTTACGCACTTACAGGTAGTACGCCTGGAATTTCAAAATGGCGTTCAAACGGCGGTTGGTGGTTGAAGGCTCAGCTGGTCAGTAACGTCGCTGACGCCAACGCGACAACATGTACTGCTGATTTCCGACATCAGCAACATTGCTCCAGGTAAGTGATAATTCTTTTTGACATATTTATATCTTATATATACACAGTATATAGAATTATATAATATAATGGGGTTTGGCGTATGGAATTTGCTTTGAACAATGCCTATCAATGTTAGTTTAGTTTTAGTTCGCACACCGCCCCCTATCCAGTGGGCAGCGGTGGATAGGTTACAATCACTCGGTTACTACCTACAGTTAGCAGACTGGGGATATTTGGCTAAAATTTCTGGTAGCAGATCAGGTCCCCCATTTGTTCCGATTTTTTTTCAAATTGGATTTTACAATTCAAGTGTTATGTTATTTACTGCTTTAGCAGATAGGCGGTTCCATGGGTTTATAACCCTGTGGGTGAAAATATAGCTTGTGTTTTCAGTCCTACACTGCGGCTTGTTGGACTTGAAACTGTTGTTCCTTGTTTGTGTTCCATCTGACCTTTTGAAGTTGTTCTCTGGATCCATATCTTCGAAACTGTTCAATATTTTAATAGGCAGGCGATGAGTCACAATAACGTGGCTGAAGTATGTTGACCAGACCACACACTAGAAGTTGAAGGGACGACGAGTTTCGGTCCGTCCTGGACCATTCTCAAGTCGATTCAAGTCGATATTTTAATAGTTTCGGTGAGATCCATCCTGGCATGCCTAGTTTGCAGTGTTGTTAGCCCTGTGACCCTCAACCGTTCATGGTATGAAACTAGACCTCATTCTGCAATTATTTTTGTCGCCTGGTGTTCAATTTTCTCCATGAAAGGTTGGGCGCGGGGTGGGTTCTCTGTCGGGCTCCAAGTGGGTTCTCTGTCGGGCTCCAAGTGGGTTCTCTGTCGGGCTCCAAGTGGGTTCTCTGTCGGGCCCCAAGTGGGTTCTCTGTCGGGCCCCAAGTGGGTTCTCTGTCGGGCCCCAAGTGGGTTCTCTGTCGGGCCCCAAGTGGGTTCTCTGTCGGGCCCCAAGTGGGTTCTCTGTCGGGCCCCAAGTGGGTTCTCTGTCGGGCCCCAAGTGGGTTCTCTGTCGGGCCCCAAGTGGGTTCTCTGTCGGGCCCCAAGTGGGTTCTCGGTCGGGGCCCCAAGTGGGTTCTCGGGCGGGGCCCCGGGTGGGTTCCGGTCGGGGGCCCCAGGGTGGGTTGTCGGTCGGGGCTCCGGGGTGGGTTGCCGGTCGGGGCTCCGGGGTGGGTTGCCGGTCGGGGCTCCGGGGTGGGTTGTCGGTCGGGGCTCCGGGGTGGGTTGTCGGTCGGGGCTCCGGGGTGGGTTGTCGGTCGGGGCTCCGGGGTGGGTTGTCGGTCGGGGCTCCGGGGTGGGTTGTCGGTCGGGGCTCCGGGGTGGGTTGCGGTCGGGGCTCCGGGGTGGGTTGTCGGTCGGGGCTCCGGGGTGGGTGCCGGTCGGGGCTCCGGGGTGGGTTGCGGGGGGCTCCGGGGTGGGTTGTCGGTCGGGGGCTCCGGGGTGGGTTGTCGGTCGGGGCTCCGGGGTGGGTTGTCGGTCGGGGCTCCGGGGTGGGTTGTCGGTCGGGGCTCCGGGGTGGGGTTTGTCGGTCGGGGCTCCGGGGTGGGTTGTCGGTCGGGGCTCCGGGGTGGGTTGTCGGTCGGGCTCCGGGGTGGGTTGTCGGTCGGGGCTCCGGGGTGGGTTGTCGGTCGGGGCTCCGGGGTGGGTTGTCGGTCGGGGCTCCGGGGTGGGTTGTCGGTCGGGGCTCCGGGGTGGGTTGTCGGTCGGGGCTCCGGGCAGGCTTTAGGTACTCAACTGGCGGGCTCTGGGTGGGTGACTGTTCGGGCTCCAGGTGGGTGTCTGTCCGGCTTCGGGTGGGTTCTTGGTAGGGCTTGGGGGGTGTGGGTTCTTGGTAGGGCTTGGGGGGGTGTGGGTTCTTGGTAGGGCTTGGGGGGGGGGGTGTGGGTACTTGGTAGGGCTTGGGGGGTGTGGGTAATTGGTAGGGCTTGGGGGGGTGTGGGTTCTTGGTAGGGCTTGGGGGGTGTGGGTTCTTGGTAGGGCTTGGGGGGGGGGGTGTGGGTTCTTGGTAGGGCTTGGGGGGGGTGTGGGTTCTTGGTAGGGCTTGGGGGGGGTGGGGGCTTCTTGGTAGGGCTTGGGGGGGGTTCTTGGTAGGGCTTGGGGGGGGAGTGGGTTCTTGGTAGGGCTTGGGGGGGTGTGGGTTCTTGGTAGGGCTTGGGGGGGGGGGTGTGGGTACTTGGTAGGGCTCGGGGAGGTGTGGGTTCTTGGTAGGGCTCAAGGGGGGTGTGTGGGTTCTTGGTAGGGCTCGGGGGGGGGGGGTGTGGGTTCTTGGTAGGGCTCGGGGGGGTGTGGGTTCTCGGTAGGGCTCGGGGGGGGTTGGGTTCTTGGTAGGGCTCGGGGTGGGTTCTTGGTAGGGCTCGGGGTGGGTTCTCGGTAGGGCTCGGGGCGGGCTCCAGGTACTCAACTGACGGGTTCCAGTTCACTCAACTGGCGGGCTCCGGTTCACTCAACTGGCGGGCTCCGGTTTATTAAACTGGCGGGCTCCGGGTGTTTGACTGGTCGGGCTCCGGGTGGGTGACTGTTCGGGCTCCAGGTGGGTGTCTGTCCGGCTTCGGGTATGTTCTTGGTAGGGCTTCGGGGTGGGTTCTTGGTAGGACTTAGGGTTGGCTCCCGGTCAGGCTCAGGGTGGGCTCTTTCGGGTTCGGGATGGGCTCTCGGGCTTGGGGTACCTCTGTAGGGCTCGGGGTAGGTTCTTGGTCGGGCCCAGGGTGGGTTCTCTGCAGGGCTCAGGGTGTTTTCATGGTAGGACTAGGGGTGGGTTCTCTGTAGGGATCAGGGTGGGTTCTCGGTCGGGCTCGGGGCGGGCTCCAGGTACTCAACTGACGGGTTCCAGTTCACACAACTGGCGGGCTCCGGTTCACTCAACTGGCGGGCTCCGGTTTACTAAACTGGCGGGCTCCGGGTGTTTGACTGGTCGGGCTCCGGGTGGGTGACTGTTCGGGCTCCAGGTGGGTGTCTGTCCGGCTTCGGGTGGGTTCTCGGTAGGGCTTGGGGGTGGGTTCTCGGCAGGGCTTGGGGGTGGGTTCTCGGTAGGGCTTGGGGTGGGTTCTCGGTAGGGCTTGGGGGTGGGTTCTCGGTAGGGCTTGGGGGTGGGTTCTCGGTAGGGCTTGGGGCTGAGTTCTCGGTAGGGCTTGGGGCTGGGTTCTCGGTAGGGCTTGGGGCTGGGTTCTCGGTAGGGCTTGGGGCTGGGTTCTCGGTAGGGCTTGGGGCTGGGTTCTCGGTAGGGCTTGGGGCTGGGTTCTCGGTAGGGCTTGGGGCTGGGTTCTCGGTAGGGCTTGGGGGGTGGGTTCTCGGTAGGGCTTGGGGGGTGGGTTCTTGGTAGGGCTTGGGGGGTGGGTTCTCGGTAGGGCTCGGGGTGGGCTCTTTCGGGATCGGGATAGGCTCTCGGGCTTGGGGAACCTCTGTAGGGCTCGGGGTAGGTTCTTGGTCGGGCTCAGGGTGGGTTCTCGGTAGGGCTCGGGGCGGGCTCCAGGTACTCAACTGACGGGTTCCAGTTCACTCAACTGGCGGGCTCCGGTTTACTAAACTGGCGGGCTCCGGGTGTTTGACTGGTCGGGCTCCGGGTGGGTGACTGTTCGGGCTCCAGGTGGGTGTCTGTCCGGCTTCGGGTGGGTTCTTGGTAGGGCTTGGGGTGGGTTCTTGGTAGGTATTGGGGCTGGGTTCTCGGTAGGGCTTTGGGCTGGGTTCTCGGTAGGGCTTGGGGGGTGGGTTCTCGGTAGGGTTTGGGGGGGTGGGTTCTCGGTAGGGCTTGGGGGGGGGTTCTCGGGTAGGGCTTGGGTCGGTAGGGCTTGGGGGGGTTCTCGGTAGGGCTGGGGGTGGGGGCTTGGGGGGGTTTCTCGGTAGGGCTTGGGGGGGTGGGTTCTCGGTAGGGCTTGGGGGGGGTTCTCGGTAGGGCTTGGGGGGTGGGTTCTCGGTAGGGCTTGGGGGGGGGGTTCTCGGTAGGGCTTGGGGGGGTGGGTTCTCGGTAGGGCTTGGGGGGGTGGGTTCTCGGTAGGGCTTGGGGGGGTGGGTTCTCGGTAGGGCTTGGGGGGTGGGGTTCTCGGTAGGGCTTGGGGGTGGGTTCTCGGTAGGGGTCGGGGTGGGCTTTTTCGGGATCGGGATAGGCTCTCGGGCTTGGGGAACCTCTGTAGGGCTCGGGGTAGGTTCTTGGTCGGGCTCAGGGTGGGTTCTCGGTAGGGCTCGGGGCGGGCTCCAGGTACTCAACTGACGGGTTCCAGTTCACTCAACTGGCGGGCTCCGGTTCACTCAACTGGCGGGCTCCGGTTTACTAAACTGGCGGGCTCCGGGTGTTTGACTGGTCGGGCTCCGGGTGGGTGACTGTTCGGGCTCCAGGTGGGTGTCTGTCCAGCTTCGGGTGGGTTCTTGGTAGGGCTTGGGGTGGGTTCTTGGTAGGTATTAGGGCTGGGTTCTTGGTAGAGCTTGGGGGTGGGTTTTGGTAGGGCTTTGGGGGTGGGTTCTCGGTAGGGCTTGGGGGGTGGGTTCTCGGTAGGGCTTGGGGTGGGCTCTTCGGGTCTCTTTCGGGATCGGGATAGGCTCTCGGGCTTGGGGAACCTCTGTAGGGCTCGGGGTAGGTTCTTGGTCGGGCTCAGGGTGGGTTCTCGGTAGGGCTCGGGGCGGGCTCCAGGTACTCAACTGACGGGTTCCAGTTCACTCAACTGGTGGGCTCCGGTTCACTCAACTGGCGGGCTCCGGTTCACTCAACTGGCTCCGGTTTACTAAACTGGCGGGCTCCGGGTGTTTGACTGGTCGGGCTCCGGGTGGGTGACTGTTCGGGCTCCAGGTGGGTGTCTGTCCAGCTTCGGGTGGGTTCTTGGTAGGGCTTGGGGTGGGTTCTTGGTAGGGCTTGGGGTGGGTTCTTGGTAGGTTCTTGGTAGGGCTTGGGGGGGGGGTGTGGGTTCTTGGGGGTGGGCTCTTGGGGGCTTGGGGGTGGGTTCTTGGTAGGGCTTGGGGGTGGGTTCTTGGTAGGGTTTGGGGTTGGCTCCCGGTCAGGCTCGGGGTGGGCTCTTTCGGGATCGGGATAGGCTCTCGGGCTTGGGGAACCTCTGTAGGGCTCGGGGTAGGTTCTTGGTCGGGCTCAAGGTGGGTTCTCGGTAGGGCTCGGGGCGGGCTCCAGATACTCAACTGACGGGTTCCAGTTCACTCAACTGGCGGGCTCCGGTTCACTCAACTGGCGGGCTCCGGTTTACTAAACTGGCGGGCTCCGGGTGTTTGACTGGTCGGGCTCCGGGTGGGTGACTGTTCGGGCTCCAGGTGGGTGTCTGTCCAGCTTCGGGTGGGTTCTTGGTAGGGCTTGGGGTGGGTTCTTGGTAGGTATTGGGGCTGGGTTCTTGGTAGGGCTTGGGGGTGGGTTCTTGGTAGGGCTTGGGGGTGGGTTCTTGGTAGGGCTTGGGGGTGGGTTCTTGGTAGGGCTTGGGGGTGGGTTCTCGGTAGGGCTTGGGGGTGGGTTCTTGGTAGGGTTTGGGGGTTGGCTCCCGGTAGGGCTCGGGGTGGGCTCTTTCGGGATCGGGATAGGCTCTCGGGCTTGGGGAACCTCTGTAGGGCTCAGGGTAGGTTCTTGGTCGGGCTCAGGGTGGGTTCTCGGTAGGGCTCGGGGCGGGCTCCAGGTACTCAACTGACGGGTTCCAGTTCACTCAACTGGCGGGCTCCGGTTCACTCAACTGGCGGGCTCCGGTTTACTAAACTGGCGGGCTCCGGGTGTTTGACTGGTCGGGCTCCGGGTGGGTGACTGTTCGGGCTCCAGGTGGGTGTCTGTCCAGCTTCGGGTGGGTTCTTGGTAGGGCTTGGGGTGGGTTCTTGGTAGGTATTAGGGCTTGGTATGGGGAACCTTGGGGGCTGGGTTCTTGGTAGGGCTTGGGGGTGGGTTCTTGGTAGGGCTTGGGGGGGTGGGTTCTTGGTAGGGCTTGGGGGTGGGTTCTTGGTAGGGCTTGGGGGGGTGGGTTCTTGGTAGGGCTTGGGGGGTTCTTGGTAGGGTTTGGGGTTGGCTCCCGGTCAGGCTCGGGGTGGGCTCTTTCGGGATCGGGATAGGCTCTCGGGCTTGGGGAACCTCTGTAGGGCTCGGGGTAGGTTCTTGGTCGGGCTCAGGGTGGGTTCTCGGTAGGGCTCGGGGCGGGCTCCAGGTACTCAACTGACGGGTTCCAGTTCACTCAACTGGCGGGCTCCGGTTCACTCAACTGGCGGGCTCCGGTTTACTAAACTGGCGGGCTCCGGGTGTTTGACTGAACGGGCTCCGGGTGGGTGACTGTTCGGGCTCCAGGTGGGTGTCTGTCCGGCTTCGGGTGGGTTCTTGGTAGGGCTTGGGGTGGGTTCTTGGTAGGTATTGAGGCTGGGTTCTCGGTAGGGCTTTGGGCTGGGTTCTCGGTTAGGGCTTGGGGCTGGGTTCTCGGTAGGGCTTGGGGGGTGGGTTCTCGGTAGGGCTTGGGGGGTGGGATCTCTAGAGCTTGGGGGGTGGGATCTCGGTAGGGCTTGGGGGGGTGGGTTCTCGGTAGGGCTTGGGGGGGTGGGTTCTCGGTAGGGCTTGGGGGGGTGGGTTCTCGGTAGGGCTTGGGGGGGTGGGTTCTCGGTAGGGCTTGGGGGGGGGTGGGTTCTCGGTAGGGCTTGGGTGGGTGGGTTCTCGGTAGGGCTTGGGGGGGGGGGTTCTCGGTAGGGCTTGGGGGGTGGGTTCTCAGTAGGGGTCGGGGTGGGCTCTTTCGGGATCGGGATAGGCTCTCGGGCTTAAGGAACCTCTGTAGGGCTCGGGGTAGGTTCTTGGTCGGGCTCAGGGTGGGTTCTCGGTAGGGCTCGGGGCGGGCTCCAGGTACTCAACTGACGGGTTCCAGTTCACTCAACTGGCGGGCTCCGGTTCACTCAACTGGCGGGCTCCGGTTTACTAAACTGGCGGGCTCCGGGTGTTTGACTGGTCGGGCTCCGGGTGGGTGACTGTTCGGGCTCCAGGTGGGTGTCTGTCCAGCTTCGGGTGGGTTCTTGGTAGGGCTTGGGGTGGGTTCTTGGTAGGTATTAGGGCTGGGTCCTTGGTAGGGCTTGGGGGTGGGTTCTTGGTAGGGCTTTGGGCTGGGTTCTCGGTAGGGCTTTGGGCTGGGTTCTCGGTAGGGCTTGGGGGGTGGGTTCTCGGTTGGGTTTGGGGGTGTGGGTTCTCGGTAGGGCTTGGGGGAGTGGGTTCTCGGTAGGGCTTGGGGGGGTGGGTTCTCGGTAGGGCTTGGGGGGGTGGGTTCTCGGTAGGGCTTGGGGGGGGGGTTCTCGGTAGGGCTGGGGGGGGGTTCTCGGTAGGGCTTGGGGGGGGGTGGGTTCTCGGTAGGGCTTGGGGGGGGTTCTCGGTAGGGCTTGGGGGGGGGGTTTGGGTTCTCGGTAGGGCTTGGGGGGGGGGTTCTCGGTAGGGCTTGGGGGGGTGGGTTCTCGGTAGGGCTTGGGGGGGGGTTCTCGGTAGGGCTTGGGGGGGTGGGTTCTCGGTAGGGCTTGGGGGTGGGTTCTCGGTTGGGTTCGGGATAGGCTCTCGGGCTTGGGGAACCTCTGTAGGGCTCGGGGTAGGTTCTTGGTCGGGCTCAGGGTGGGTTCTCGGTAGGGCTCGGGGCGGGCTCCAGGTACTCAACTGACGGGTTCCAGTTCACTCAACTGGCGGGCTCCGGTTCACTCAACTGGCGGGCTCCGGTTTACTAAACTGGCGGGCTCCGGGTGTTTGACTGGTCGGGCTCCGGGTGGGTGACTGTTCGTTCTCCAGGTGGGTGTCTGTCCAGCTTCAGGTGTGTTCTTGTTAGGGCTTGGGGTGGGTTCTTGGTAGGTATTAGGGCTGGGTTCTTGGTAGGGCTTGGGGGTGGGTTTTGGTAGGGCTTTGGGGGTGGGTTCTCGGTAGGGCTTGGGGGGTGGGTTCTCGGTAGGGCTTGGGGGGTGGGTTCTCGGTAGGGCTCGGGGTGGGCTCTTTCGGGATCGGGATAGACTCTCGGGCTTGGGGAACCTCTGTAGGGCTCGAGGTAGGTTCTTGGTCGGGCTCAGGGTGGGTTCTCGGTAGGGCTCGGGGCGGGCTCCAGGTACTCAACTGACGGGTTCCAGTTCACTCAACTGGCGGGCTCCGGTTCACTCAACTGGCGGGCTCCGGTTTACTAAACTGGCGGGCTCCGGGTGTTTGACTGGTCGGGCTCCGGGTGGGTGACTGTTCGGGCTCCAGGTGGGTGTCTGTCCAGCTTCGGGTGGGTTCTTGGTAGGGCTTGGGGTGGGTTCTTGGTAGGTATTAGGGCTGGGTTCTTGGTAGGGCTTGGGGGTGTGTTCTTGGTAGGGCTTGGGGGTGGGTTCTTGGTTGGGGTTGGGGGTGGGTTCTTGGTTGGGCTTGGGGGTGGGTTCTTGGTTGGGCTTGGGGGTGGGTTCTTGGTAGGGCTTGGGGGTGGGTTCTTGGTAGGGTTTGGGGTTGGCTCCCGGTCAGGCTCGGGGTGGGCTCTTTCGGGATCGGGATAGGCTCTCGGGCTTGGGGAACCTCTGTAGGGCTCGGGGTAGGTTCTTGGTCGGGCTCAGGGTGGGTTCTCGGTAGGGCTCGGGGCGGGCTCCAGGTACTCAACTGATGGGTTCCAGTTCAGTTACACTATATGCGGTCTGTCGTGCTTTCCAGCGTGCAGTTTTAGATCATCAGGAATCTTCTTAGTTGTATTCCTTGTGGTTTGCCTCTCTTTTTACACCCTTTCTACTTTCTGGAGGGAAAGGGAAGGGAAGGGAATTATTAGGAGAAATCACTAAATCATTATAACTATATAGCATTTGGAAGGGATCAATATAAGGATTTTTGATGGGACATGGGGACGAAATTGTGCCCAACCACTTGGACAGTCGGGGATTGAAAACCGGCTTGCAAAAAAATGGGCCTTCGCTCTACTGTCTAGCCCAAGTGGTTGGGCGGGAAGGGAAGGTAGATCAATCTTTGATAGCTGGCAGTGCAGTATTTTAGCCTCAGTCTGCTTCAGTTGAGTTCTTCGGATCCAGCTTTGGGCCATGTGTAGATCCATATCTCCTGGTTCCTGGCTGGGGTAGGGGTTCTAGTGCATCGTTCGCTCTGGACAGTGATCCTGTTCACCCTTCGTTTTTGAAGTGTTGACCTTTTAGGCAAGTTGATTGAAACCTCAGGTAACCTCAGGGCTGTCATCTGGTGGAAGATGGGTAAATCAAGGGCCTACCAGAAAAAGATGTTTAATTATACAGTATTCAATGCTTAATTTTCACATATATAGTACAGTACATGTTTTAAGTAAATAATATCAGACTTTATCTTGGATCATTTTCTTATTTAGGGTTTTAATCTTATAATACTTATATTGAGGAATGTGATTTCTACTCACTTTATGAATTTTAATCCTCCAAATACTGTATTATTAAAACTATGATTATAGAAATTTTAGACATTGTTGTTATAAATGATACTCTATACTCTATAGTGAACTCATTATTTCTTACTTGCAGTTGAAGTGGTGTGCTTGGGTTGCGCTATACTGCTCCTGCATCAGCTTTGCCAACTCGAGAGTCAATGACGATACGAAACAAATGCTCAGCAGCTTCATGTAAGGTTTATCTTGTTTTCTTCTGAAATTTGTATATTACTAAACCCATAAAGGTACAACCTGTCCTCATAGCATGTCACATTTTAACATATACTTTACTTTACACAAGGCCAAAACCTGGTGTACTAAGGCAAATAAACATTGCGACGGGGTAAATACCCTAACTGTGCAACCTGTCCTCTTACAAATTACGTCTGAATTTGGTCGTTTGCCCATATGGCCGAAAATGGACGTAATTTAAAAATAAAAAAATTAAAATAAATTTTGGATTTTGTTTCAAAACAGTAAGTTAAGGGTCCTCTCGTAGGTTAGGAGGGCAGGAAATTGTCCTCAAGTTTCAAAAGCTATGAAAAACGTTAAATGAAAGTTTCCTCTCCTAACCTTTCCAAGTAAGCCAGAGGACTTAGAGAAAACGCGACAGTATGTCACTTTCGTGAGCCAATTTCATTTCAAATTACGTTCATTTTTGGATATAGCATGCATTCGAACGAAAAGTGACGTTATTTTCAAGAGGACAGGTTGAACCATGATGTGCCTGACCACCATCATATGGTGGGTCAGGTCACCTAAAGTCCCAGCTAGCCTGCCATCCCCGCTCGTTGAGCCAAATGGAACCCCCAAATATTCTATAAGGAAGAGAACAGGACTGGGAGGTGAGCGATTGACTACATGCCTGAAAAGGGCATTTCATTACCTGGATCTGGATTTGTACCTGGATAAGGGGGTTCTGGGATTTCTTTTCTCCAAGCCTGGCCTGGGCCAGGCATGACGTGCAAGATCTTGGTTCAGTAGACTGTTGCTGGGAGTGGCCTGCAGGGCCATATTCCCACTTACAATCTAGTTAGTCCAGCACTTCTTGCAGGAAACTCTAATTTTTTCTTGAAGAAATACTTTTGTTCCAGCCATACTTATTTTATTTGCTGTGAGGATATTAAGGAGCCGTGGTCCTTTGATATTCATACAGTGTTCTATGATTGTTCCTGTGGCACCTTTATTCTTCACTTGCACTATTCTGCATTTCCTACCATATTGTTCGCTCCACTACCTTACCTTACCTTGAGGTTACCTTGAGGTGCTTCCGGGGCTTAGCGTCCCCGCGGCCCGGTCGTCGACCAGGCCTCTTGGTTGCTGAACTGATCAACCAGGCTGTTGGCCGCGGCTGCTCGCAGCCTGACGTATGAGTCACAGCCTGGTTGATCAGGTATCCTTTGGAGGTGCTTATCCAGTTCTCTCTTGAACACTGTGAGGGGTCGGCCAGTTATGCCCCTTATGTGTAGCGGAAGCGTGTTGAACAGTCTCGGGCCTCTGATGTTGATAGTTCTCTCTCGGAGTACTTGTTGCACCTCCGCTTTTCAACGGGGGTATTCTGCACATCCTTCCATGTCTTCTGGTCTCATGTGATGTTATTTCTGTGTGCAGGTTTGGGACCAGCCCCTCTAATATTTTCCACGTGTAAATTATTATGTATCTCTCCCGCCTGCGCTCAAGGGAGTACAGATTTAGGCTCTTTAGTCGGTCCCAATAGTTTAGATGTTTTACTGAGTGGATTCTAGCAGTAAAGGATCTCTGCACACTCTCCAGGTCAGCAATTTCTCCAGCTTTGAAAGGGGCTGTCATTGTGCAGCAGTACTCCACTCTAGAGAGCACAAGCGTTTTGAAAAGAATCATCATCGGTATAGCATCTGTTATAATATTGTGCAAATTTTGGACCTGGATATTCATACAGTGTTCTATGACTGTTTCTGTGGCACATTTTTTCTTCACTTGCGCTATTCTGCATTTCCTACCATATTGTTCGCTCCACTATGTTATAATACTGTGCAAATTTTGGACCTGGAGTTCAGTCCATGTATACAGTACATGATACCTCTCTTGTCTCCTTTCCAGAGTACATTTTGGGAGCTTCAAATGGTCCCAATAATTTATGTACTTTATTGTGTTTGTGTGCTGAGTATGTCCTCTGTATTCCCTGTGTTTCAACAATCTCTCTTGCTTTGATTTGTTATTTTTGGGAGAGCCCTGTCAGTAGTTTTCTGAGCTTACTTGTCAGTCACTATAGCATTGACTTCATGATTTTCCTAAGGGTGACAACACTTGCATAATTGTCTTTTGTTATTGAATGTAATTTAAATTACATTAATCCAACCCATTGTTACTGGCTAATAGTTCTGATTTTCAAAGTAAATTATCATAATTAAACAAATATACTTTTATTTGCTTGTCACAAATAATTTACTAATTATATTAACATTTCAGGTTGTCCATTTCTGCAGTTGTGATGTCCTACCTTCAAAACTCACAGCCAATGACACCTCCATGGTCCAATATATAAACAGTTCTATATTATCGATTGTTTTTGGTTGAATGGAAATGTATAATTGCCTCACCATACTTGTATTAAAATTGTACTGCTGAATGACAGTGACAATTTTAGTTTTAATAAACTAGCTAATGGTGCCAGGTTTGTATTATGATGTGCAATATGGAACAGTGCCAACATTTGATGATGTGCATGAGTTACAAAATGGCTTGTTGACCAGACCACACACTAGAAATTGAAGGGACGACGACGTTTCGGTCCGTCCTGGACCATTCTCAAGTCGATTGTGACAATCGACTTGAGAATGGTCCAGGACGGACCGAAACGTCGTCGTCCCTTCAATTTCTAGTGTGGTCTGGTCAACATACTTCAGCCACGTTATTGTGACTCATCGCCTGCAAAATGGCTTGGTTTGTTAATCTTTTAATTTGTGTAGCCTGCACTATATAATTCTTGTGTTATACTTCCCATCCAAAAGTTTCTTGTAAGCAGCTTGTCTTTTTTTTTCTTTAACAAATGGACAAATTTGTATTGTCCCATAACATTATCATGTCATTCATGCCAGTGTAAAAGGCAATAGCATGAAGGTCAAAGCTTGAAATATCCTGGAATATGAAGTACCATACGAGTTGATCCTCGAGTGACAACCACATTAGTACAGTAGATAGCCTCCATATTAGACATAAAAGGAAGACTTGATCACCACGTTAGAAATAGAAGAGTGAAAGGGAATTGGGAGTGGAATGGTAGGCAGTCAGTATGGGGGAAGGGAGACTTTTGGAGTACAGTACAGTACTGTCCATTCAGTAGAGCCAGGCTGTCACCTGATCGGATGACAGGCAAAGTTATCAGTCACTAGCACTGATTTTATAGTTTTCTTCGAGGTGACATCAACTGCATAATATCTTTTTGATCATGAAATTACATTAACTCCAACCAGTTACTGCTGGCTAATAATTCTTAGACATAAAGGAAAGAGGACAAATCAGAAGAGCATGTTAAGATAGGGCTACCTGAATAGGTTTCAGTTGTGGTTACTCCATCAGAGGGGCGTTCATGGGGATAAAGACAGATTCTACAGTAAATTGTTAATTCCTCTTTTAGGACTGCCTCCTCTTCCATTTTGCTTAGTTATGCAAAGTTGTTGTTTTATGGTTACAAAGGAAACATATCATTCCTTAATTTCTTATTTTGACTGTATCAGAATTTAGAATTTCTAAAATATAGTTACAGGTTGTAAGTACAGTATGTATAACAGTTTATACAGTACTATACTTAGTGTATAAAATATATATTAATGCAGGCCATATGTATTATTGTTAAATATGTACTTTTGTATTTCATAGTAAACCTTTTACCATAATATATAATTATCTTCTCCTTTCAATAGTGCATTTGTCATGTTGAATTACTGTATATGGTATATCAGGATTTTATCGGTACTACCTTGTTGACTGCGTGTTCCTCCCGTTACTATACTGTATACAGTATCTCTCCTTCCCATTACAGTATTACACTGAGATGTATCAGTAAGGTGGTTGGGCTCACTGGCTCAAGCAAAGAATATTCACTATACAATACTATATTGAATATAAATTCAGTGGATTTTGTACTACATGGGAACCTGGTCCAAGATAGGGATTTTAATCTAGCCAGTGACCTGTACAATGAATTTGGCATCTAGATAATGCAGAATTCCTCTAAGACTGATAATTTTAAATTAATATTACTAAAAAATTCAAACAGTGCTTTTTCCATGGGATTTCTGCATCAAATTATGCACAAATGTATGTCCTATCATGTGCACAAATAAAGGGTGAATGCTGTGGATCGTGTTGTCCATTAAAATCTGTACAATAAAGCTTTCAGTCACATGCCATCCCTAAGGTGTGGCATTGTTTACAATTTCCCATTTAGAATCCTTTCATTAGAAAGTATTTACACCACAGTATTGTATGTCGAACATAAAAAATATTAAATGTATAAAGATATTGTACACAATGTGATAAATCAATGATATAATCTTTAGAGCAGGACAGCACGATCGAACCAATGTTGTGGATAACCACAGATGTGCACCTTAACCCATGGACTAGGATGTGCAAAAAGTTACACGACCTGGGGCCGGATTCAGGAAGGTACTTACGAAGGTTTTTCCTCTTAGCTAAGAGCGTTTTCCGTCTTAGCGCCTTCGTGGCGGCTACGTCCATATTCAATTAACTACCCTAAGTGGAAAAACCTTCGTAAGTTCATTCCTGGATTTAAGTGTGGTTTCGACCACTCGTAGCTTTACGTAAACTGGATATAAGTCATTTTTTCTCTACTACATAACACTGGGATCGATTTATGATATTGGAACATGACCAAAATATTATAGCTGGTGAATCTAGTGAAGAAGAGTCTTTCGTGTTAATTATATATGCATTCTCTGCTTGAAACTTGAAGTAAATATGTGTTTGATGATAGTAGAATTAGTTTTATAATAGCAAGATATTATACCAGTAGTTATTAAGTAAATAAACACTGGTGAACATGAAATATGAGAGAAGGTGATGAGCCCTGCCTGATGGGATCATTTACTATCACCAAATGCGCCTGTTCACCTAGTAGTAAGGGTGTACCTTAGCTATACATACCCATTTCTAATTTATTTAGTTTGGTTTTATTTTGAAATTAAATCTGGGTGAGACATAAAATAAAAATATGCTGCACAAATGATGTTAGGTAAGGAAAAGGATAAAAATGTCAAAAACTTTATTCATTGAATACTTAAAGCTATAATTATGACTATATAGATTATTAAAAAAGAGAGAGGGAAGTAGGGGTCCAAGACCTCTTCCTGTTATACAATTTGGGTGTGGAACAAGTAATTATCAAAAGAAGGCACCATGCCGGGAAGGCTATGTAGCAGTAAGGCAGTGAGGTGAGGCAGCTACTTATTTGAGAAATGCTTATTTTATTTACCTTATAAGCTGAGGCAACTTATTTTATTTGAGGAATACTCAGCTGATTCCTCTACATTTAGCATGGAACAAATTTGTGTCCAAGACCTCTTCCTGTTACTCAATTTGGCTGTGTGTAACCAAACTAGAAGTGCTCTACAAATCAAGGGACCCAGAATGTGGAATGTCCTCCCGAATCATGTCAAAGGCTGTACCCCTCTCAACCAGTTTAAGAGTTAAACCAAGTACTGCCAAATTAACTCCATGTAACCTAACTTACCTCCTAAATGTCAACCCATGTCTTGCTATTTTTTAAACAACGCTGTTCACCAACATGTGCAATTGCTGATTTATGCTATGTTAACCCCCTTTTTGTATTTTTTATTCCTTTCAACACAATTTATACCTAATCCCGATTACTATTAAGTTTGTCTGTGTTTTTTTTCCCCCACACCTTGCCCGAAATGCTATGAGTATTAGTAGCTTTAGGTATTGTATGTACTAGCTCTGCCTATAAATCCATCATTATGTTTGTAAATCAACTGTATGTACTTTTCCTGAATAAAATGTATTTATTATTTATTTCTTAATCAGTAAGTATTAAAAGAAGGCACCAAGCTGGGAAGGCTATGTAGCACCATTGTGTGTAACAATAAACCAAATTTTTTTTAGCAAACAATGCACCTGTATGGGAAAACAAATCCTGTCAGCTGTAAAAATATTGATGCAGTTATTTAAATGAAAAATATAATGAAAGAAATATTACTTGTTTATTTTTACCCTATCTTTTTGTACTGTACAGTATATCCAAGGAAGTGAAAAATTGAGACATAATGCACAATTTAATGAATGATTAGCATGGATTTGCAGTTCAAAAGAAATATGACTTGTATTACATATCAACATGAGATCTTAATGATCCATGGTCAACATGATTTAATAAGGATAATACGGTACTGTATTTGTAATACAAACTATAATTTAAAATCTTTATTACTGATTTATTTTATTAAGAAGATTAGGTATACACAGCAATGTGCTGCTACCCTAGTCTATATGGAATATTACACAGTGTAGATAAAAAACTAGCTATAAATTTATCTAATACTCCCATCTCACAGGATGGTTAGACATACTGTACATGGAATCAATTTAGAAAATACCAGCCTCAATACAAAAAACAAATCAACTCTGACTAAACAACTCTAAGCCATTTTCACAAGAGGTAAGCACTGAATCATGGAAACATTGTAGAAACTGGTAAGAGTAATTATAATATAATGTTTCCATGATTCAGTGCTTACCTCTTGTGAAAATTGCTTAGAGTTGTTTAGTCAGAGTTGATTTGTTTTTTGTATTGAGGCTGGTATTTTCTAAATTGATTCCATGTACAGTATGTCTAACCATCCTGTGAGATGGGAGTATTAGATAAATTTATAGCTAGTTTTTTATCTACACTGTGTAATATTCCATATAGACTAGGGTAGCAGCACATTGCTGTGTATACCTAATCTTCTTAATAAAATAAATCAGTAATAAAGATTTTAAATTATAGTTTGTATTACAAATACAGTACCGTATTATCCTTATTAAATCATGTTGACCATGGATCATTAAGATCTCATGTTGATATGTAATACAAGTCATATTTCTTTTGAACTGCAAATCCATGCTAATCATTCATTAAATTGTGCATTATGTCTCAATTTTTCACTTGAATGAGAATATGAGACCCAAGAATGAGAATATCACAGCTGCCGATTTGGCAGCAGAGAAATCTCGGCTAAGAGATTTTATTTTGTGTGTGTGTGTGTATTTTCTATACAGTACTTTTAAGAACAAGCCTACAATATCATTTGACAAAAAAAAAAAAAAAAAAAAAAAAAAAAAAATTAACTTAAATTTTTCTGTATAAATGTTTTGTGAATTTGCTTCAAGGGTTTGACTGGAAAAACAGTATCATACTGTACATTGTACCCAGAATTCATTAGTTAAGCCTCAAACTTTACTTTGCTATGGCAATTTATAATGCTGATTGTTATTAATTAAAGGACTGACATAGAAAAAATTTCTCATAAATTGTTGATTAACCATTTACATATACAGTACTGTACCAGCTACATGAAAGGTAAATAAATTTGGCAAAGGCTGCTGAATCTGTCCAATAAGATTAGATATCAAATAAAAGCTGAAAGTTATTTACTAATTTAATAAACATCTCCAATAGATAGTTACTTATAAATTTGATCACAGTTTGCTGAATCATAGAAGCACTCATAAATGCTGCTTGCCACTGCTATCCTGTACACACATTTTATAATACAGTGCATGAAAATATAAGTTTCTCAAAATGATACGTATATTTTGATTTCAATTAATGTATGACCAGTACACTATCAAGGTCTTCACTTTTCAGAGTTTTGAAGCTGCTGCCTTGTCTAATATCCAAATCAGTTCTCCATTGACAGGCTTCACCATACCAGAAGGCAAAGCTTCACCATCTCCAAGGATGCGCTGTGGATAAATAAATATACTGTATACAGTATATCAACTGATTTACCTGAGGGCCACTAACCCTAGTGGCCTCGACGAGGACAGGAAGCCGGCGGCTTGTCGAAGGTCCCCCCATTTGCCTTGATGATCTTTTCCAGGTATATTTTAAAACTCAACACAGTTTTGGCAGTTACGGCATTGGCGGGTAGGTGGTTCCATGGGTTAATAAACCTGTGGGTGTAAAACCATCTCCTGTTTTCAGTCCTACACTATGACTTGTTGAGCTTGAAACCATTGCTCCTTGTTTGTTGTACATCTGACCTTCTGAAGAAAATATCTGGATCAACATCTCTAACTTGTTTAGTATGTATTTTAAGTTTCAATGAGGTCTTCCTGTCATGCCTGGTTTGCAATGTTGTTAGCCCTATTGCCTTCAAGCGTTCCTGATACAAGAGATGACTTGGCTCTGGAATGACTTTTGTTGCCCGGTGTTGCACCTTCTTCAGAGCAGCTATGTCCTTCTGAAAATGAGGTTTCCATGCTTGGATATAGTAATCCAAATGTGGGCACACCAGAGATTTATACAGTTGAACCATTACCACCTTTTCCTTATAGCCAAAAGTACGCTTGATTATCCCAAGAGTTTGGTTAGCTTTTCTGACTGCTGCACCCACCTGTTGTGCAACTTTTAATGAGTGGTGGATTTTGACTCCAAGGTCCTTTTCTTCATCAATCTGCTGTAATGTAATGTTATTAATTTGGTAGTCGTGGCATGGGTTGTTATGCCCCACATGCATGGTCTTGCATTTGTCGATATTAAAAAGCATTTGCCAGTCTTCTGACCATTTGTGGAGTTCATGTAGATCTCTTTGTAAGGCTTCAATATCATTATCATTTCCCACTTTACCATAAATCTTTGTGTCATCTGCAAATTTGATGATGTGGTTTGTAATATTCTCATCTATGTCATTGATGTATATGACAAAAAGGGTAGGTCCCAAAATGGACCCTTGTGGCACCCCACTTATCACATTTCTCCATTCAGATTCGTTTCCATTTAGCACGACCCTTTGTTTTCTTTCCTTCAACCATTGTTTTATCCATTCTAATATTTTACCATTTATTCCATGGGCCTGTAATTTCCTTGCCAGTCTTTCATGTGGTACCTTATCAAAAGCTTTAGCAAAATCCATGTATACTACATCCACCGGAAGGCCTTTGTCTGAGTAGCTGGTTACCATTTCCAAAAATGTGAGCAAGTTTGTAAGGCAGGATCTGTTTTTAACAAATCCATGTTGTGTCGATTGTACAAGGTTGTTCACTGAAAGATGGTGAATGATTCCCTCCCTGAGGATTCTCTCCATGAGCTTGCAGATGTGTGATGTCAAGCTGATCGGTCGGTAGTTTTCTGCTGAGCTCTTTCTGCCTTTTTTGAAAATAGGGGTAACATTTGCATATTTCCAATCTAGGGGGACACTACTTGGTCCAGAGGTTTTGTGAAAAGTAGTTTCAGCCGTAGGCATAGTTCTTCTGCCAGTTTCCTTAATACTTTTGACTGGATTTCCTCCACTCCTGGGGGCTTTAGAGTGTTTTAGTTTGTCAATGTACTTTCTAATTATTTCGCATGTTATGGGTATATCCCTAAATTCATTCTCCTGCCTTCCTTCAAACATTTGTGTGAGTGATGGGATGTCATCCAACCTTTCTAGTGTGAACACTGATGTAAACTATTAATTGAGAGTGTTTGCTGCCCTTTTTTCATACATTATAGCTTGGTTAGTCTCATCTATTAAGGACCAACTGAGTCCTTTGTTTTGGTTTTACTTCTTATATAGGCATAGAACGATTTTGGATCTTTATGTTTTGGGCAAGTTTTCTTTCGTAGTTTCTTTTGGCTGATCTGATTTTCTGAGTGGCCGAGTTTAGTGCCCTTTTGTATAACTCATAATCAGTGATGTCTATCATGGATTTATATGTTCTCCAGAGGTTCCTCTTGGTTACCAATGCTCGTTTTACGACCTGTGTCATCCATCTAGTTCCCTTTCTTGTCTTTCTTCTTTTCGGCACATATTTTTGAACGAGTTCCATGATGACCCTCTTGAAATTTTGCCATGATGCTTCCGTGCCATGTTCGCCCATCAGCTCCCTCCAAGAGATGGTTTGCAGTTCCTCTCTCATTCCTTGATAGTCACCTCGCTGGTAATCTAGAAATTCATCATCTTTGACCTTTATGTGGATTTCTATATTCGTAGTCCATCATAAAATATGGTGCTCGCACGAGGGGAGTAAGGTTCAACCTAAGAAAACATATGAGGATGACCATAGATGAAAAACAAAGAGATCATTAATAAACATGAAGATGATGTGGAGGTTGTTGATCTAGCTAGGCAGTACAAGAAATCTGTCATCAATATCCACCATACTTGCTAAGAAAAAGGACATTATGAGTGCTAAAGTGGCAAAAAACATATCAATAATCAGGAAACATAGAACACAAACACTTGATGTTGAAAAGTTATTATTAATTTGGATACACAACAAGGAGTTAGCAGGTGATAGCGTTCCAGAGGCCATCATTTGTGAAAAAGCAAGGCTATTGCATGAAGATCTTATAAAGAAAATCCTTGGAACAAGTGATGCAGCTACGAAAGAGTTTAAGGCGAGCAGAGGATGGTTTGAGACATTTAGAAAAGAGAGATGAGATTCATAGTGTTGTGAGTGTTGTGAGTTGGTGGAGGAACACAGCGAAGAACTGACCACCGAAGAACTCCTAGCCCTTCACAAGGAGCAGCAACGAGAGACAGCTGAGGAAATTTCTTCAGTTGAGGAGGAGGCATTACACAATATCCCTTCCTCAACAAAGTGGTGTGCAGTATGGGAAGAAATGCAAAGTTTAGTTAAAACAACTCGCCCAAATCAAGCTGCAGTAAGCTGTTGCCTTAACCTTTGTAGTGAGGCATCACAGTGTCATTAAATTCAAGTGTTCAGACATAGGGAAAATAAGTCTCTATGGAAAGGTTCTTAGTGAGAAAAAGAAGCAATGAGCCACAACCAGGTCCTATTGGAATGCAGGCAAAATGTAGCAGAGAAGAGTACCCCAGAGAAGTCATCACTGCCTGATGTTATAATGGAAGGGGACTCCCATTCCAAACAATAACACCTCTCCTATTCCCACCACCTCACCGTTTTCCATACGCCAACTAGTCATCAATAAAGGTAAGCTATAACTTGTACATACTATAGTACAAAATGTGTGTGTGTATTATGTATGAAATGTATTTCTCTAACATTGCCTCAATGAGTTTGTCATTCTTGTCTTCTTCTTTTGCAAGGTTTCTTATAATAAGGTTGTTTTTCGTCTATGCCTATCCACAGCTTCTGCATTCCTCTCTTGAGCACCTGCATCCCTATCCAGAACTCTGCCTGCATTCGCTGAGATCCCCTAAAGTGTCTGATTACCTCCCATGGATGCCTGGTTGGTCCTGGGCCCATCCATACGTGTATCATCTGATTTTTTTTACGTGTATCATCTGATTTTTGTTAAGGTCTATAACTTCCTTCATCAAAACCCTTTGTTCCTCTCGCAACTCCTTCATCGCCTTGTGGCCTCCAATTAGTTCCTTTGGTATTTCGTCTCTATGCTCATTGATTAACTTTCTCAACTATCTCATTTAAAGATCCATCTTTTTTCACAACACTTGACTCTTCCCTAGTCCCAAACTCTTCCACTAATTCATCATTATTCTCCTCATTTGGTTCATCTTTATTTCCGTTGTCTCTGCTATGTTTCCTAAGTTAATTTCCTAAATTAACATGGGTCAGTGAATAAATTAACATGGGGCAGTGAATGACCAAAGCATAAGCATTTGAATTAGGTAGAGCAGGAACTGAGATAGCAAAAACAAATGTCATGATCCAGTGTCACTGGAGAAACTACCACAGGAAAAAATAAGAAAATAAGTAACTGCAGAAGGTGCAATGGTTTATGGCATCTAATAACCTGGTTTACAATACACCTCAAGTACACCTACTGCATTTCAATGTCAAAATAAAATTAGGCTAACTTTATTTCAATTTCTTCTAGCAAGATTTTATGAAAATGCTGGAATAAAAATCTCACCTTCACCATATCGGCCTTTCCTTGGCCAGCCATGGCAAACACACAGCACTTGGCATTGTTTATCACAGGGAAAGTCATAGTCACACGACATGACGGGGGCTTCGGAGAGTCACTGATGGCAGCAATCCAAATGTCTTTTTCTTCAAGCAACTGGTGACCTATAAAGAAGAGGTACACATTATCCAAAGCCACGACCAATATATTTGGCTTTTCAGGTATGTTTCTTTTAACATATGGAGACGATAATAAAGTTGTAAAGTTGGATTGTACATATTTACATTCCAATGCAGCCTCCACTGATGCTTGCTGCTAGTGGTGGAGACTGAACAAAGAGCACTAACAGAGAAAACCTGATATTTAATACATCTAAAAGACCATGGCTTCAAAATACTTTCCGCCCACAAATGGCCCGCTGCCTAAGAAGGTTCTTTGCTAAAACTACAAATGTCACACACCCAAAGGGGAAAAGTATTTCTGACCCAGGAGATGATGTGCTGAAGGCAACAAAAATGACCATCAGTTGTCAAAAAATAAAGATGAGCACTCTGGTTATCTACATGCAGCACTCTGGCTCTGAACTGGACAGGGTATTCATCATCACCCTGCCAGCAAAGTTAAGTGAGGTACAAATCTTTCTGAAGCTTGGTAACTGGCAAGCATCAGAGAGCACAGGTAGGAAAGACCAGATGCAAGTAGCATAAACATAAACATACACAGCATACAGATGATGAATCTCATCTAATGAAAAGTGCCAACAAGGCCAAACCAGAAGGAAGGCAAGTCACGAAAAGCAATTGGCATACACAGAAACATTCACAGCATAGGACCCATAAACAGGACACAATGTCCAACATTGGGCCAGTTAACTTGGCTTACAGGAATGATACTGGTCTTGGCTGGCAGCACATGGGTGGTCACATATGATGCCAAGTAAGAGTGTGAGAATGTGTTTTTTCACCTAGTGGTGGTCAACAGAGTTTGGTTAGCATGGATTAAATTGATCAAAGACTTGTTTAAAATTAGCAGTTTTTGTTTTTGTGGAGGGCTAAATTTGAATGCATATGTACATACAAATTTGAATGGGGTTCGTGTTCAAATATGTTTACAAACACAGTAAATTTAATATAAACAAGGCTGGTGACTTGTGGAGCAAATTACCAGGTAACAATAAACACAGGATTACTAAGATTGTTTCAAGCATAGGTTAGACATGTAATGTACAGTACAATACTGTATATGAATGAGTTTGGGTTGAGACAAATACTGTACAGTGGGAGCTGCCACATATGGGATAATAGGTCTTCTACAATTTCCTTTATTCTTATGTTCTTAAGCACCACATAGTATTTTACGTCTTTGAGACAGAAAGCTTGTTACTCTAAACTAGGTCTCCATAGCTAAGGATGTGTCCACAGTCGCTCGTCCAATTACTGGCCAGATCCAATACTGTGCACCTGACTGGACAAGTGACAAGCACACCAATTGTACCGTAACAAAGCTTTAATTACAGTACGTAATAGTAATAAATTTATTATGCTTTATGATAAGCTTAATCATCTACCTTTTGATTGTACCATACCTGGGAAGAGTGATGCAGTATGTCCATCTGGTCCCATACCCAGCAACAGAATGTCAAATGCTGGCCATTCAGAATCTGGGAAGCTAGCTCGTAACTTTTCTTCATAGTCCTTAGCCGCATCTGCCACTGGAGGAAAACATTTGAATTATTTACAGCTGCCATTGTATAATACTGAGAATCTTAGCACTTTCCATTTTTAAACCAGACAAATAGAAATACTGTAGTTCAGATAGAAATAAAGTTTTTTTAATTATTTGTAAGTTGTAATGTAAGTTGTAATACCAAATGTTAAGGACCGGAGGGTATTATAAAAACTGCATGCAGGAAAGGCTGCAGTCAATTTAACTTGGTAATCATTGAGAAATTAAAAGATGTAATGAAAATGACTGTTGAACACTTGGTTTCTGGGTGAGGTTAACTGGTAGGTGGTGATGAATCTTGGAGGAAGTGAAAAGTCTGGAAAAACAAGGATAGAGAAATACAGAAGTGAACCAAAGTTATTATGATGAGGTGATGGGCGAAAAGGTGAATGTATGATGTGGTTACACATCTCAGCAGGATAAACAGGAAAAAAATGTAAGAGGGAAGCTAAAAATAAGGTTGAAGGATACAGTGAAACTCACATAAGAGGTAGAGGTGTCAGTAAGGAAGAAAGTGTAAAGATGTATTGGGAGCAGAACACCTGGAGACTATATACCTGCCATCTGAATTATTTACTGGACTGGGAAAATGGCTTATTGGATATGGAATGCATAACATAAATATGTTATGGCTGGCTCCTTCAATCTTTCTTGTACAATTTCTATGGAGATAAAGTTTATGATAATGTGTAAACAATGTCCATTTAAATAATGCTACTTCTGTAGCATTTCTTTCTTGTTTTCATAGCCTTTTACCTTTGTCTTTTTCTATAAATTTTCTTATTTTCTTACCATGAAAAACTATTATACTCTTAGCACAGCTAGGGCAAGATTGTCTGCGTTATGTTACAGCAAAAATGGCGCACTAAATTTTTCTCCAAATGTTTTTAAGAATTTTATAAAACTGCACATTTAAAGATGGCTTGAATTTAGAGGAAAAGCATAATTAGACCACCCACTAAAGGAAGATATTTTTTTTTTAAGATAAAAGTAAGACTATGAGTATAGATGAAAAGTTCATTTCTAAGCAACCCACTTGGTTGCTTCCTTAATCAATATCCCACTTTCCAAGGGACATTGCAGAATCCAGCCAGGGTCAGTGTGACCAACTTATGTCTGATGCAGCAGGGATATTTTCAAACACCTCAACCAGGCCATATACTGTATGTGGAAATGGAGAATGGGAAATTCTGAATTCAGACCAAAATGACCTGAGTAGGTGAATTTCCACTCACCTTCCTCACTCAAATAACCTCCAATCAATAGTTGGGTTTCAAAGCAGTAGCAAATAGTTATGCAACTGTTAACTATCAACTGCTAGTTGAGTGCCTGGTCATGACTCCCACCCGCCATCAGCAATTTAAATGCATGCTTTAATTGTGAACAATATTAGGGAATAAATCAAGAGAAACCAGCGGTGAGACTATCTACAGAGACTCGATTTCCTTCCCCATTGGGGATAGAAATGAACCAAACTGGGGTGCAATTCAAATGAAAATGGAGAGCAGAGCCTGTGATGTGTATCCGCCACAGATGAGGTGGTCACCTCCCATGACTGACGTGGCTACAGCTGGAGATGAAGCCCCAGCAAAAGTAAGTTTGATGCCTCTTCTAATAGCTTGAGCAATGGTGGAGGAAATCACAGAAGTAAACTCCAAAGAGGAAAATTATGACAGAATTCACCTCAGGCAAAACTGAACCCACACCACACTGTGTGTGGTAAAAGGACACACACCAGAGAGGTGGGAAACTGTCTTCAGCTAAATACAGTCCAGCAGGTACAGTATATGCAGGTGAAACTTGGGCTGCAAAAATGGCAGCCCGAGTTTCACCAGAAAGTGCACAGATTTCAAAGGAAAAGTAAAGAGCCACTGCTTAATACTGTATATAAAATGATCACACATCTAAATACAGTACTGGAGAAGTTTCAATGGCATGTTTCAAATTTTAATTATTTTAGAAAATTAATTTTAAATACAGTACTTAAATATTACAGTATTACCATCCAAGTCAGGGTTGATAAGAACAAACTGTTCCTCTGTCAAGGGAGTTTTTCCAACTAGCCCTTCTCGGTAAATTTTGTATGTCGAGTCCTCAGCAGTAAAAGGTACAAGCCGCTCATCACAGAAGAATAGGGACCACTTTTCCCAATTGGTTTTAATAGATGGTAGTCCACTGCACACAAATTTAGCCATGGATCCCCCTGAAAAAGTAAAATTATTATTTTTAATTGTATACAGTGTTAAATGTTGATGTGCAGCACAGTACTGTATGCATTTGCTTCCTGAGATAAAATCCAACAGGTTCCATGGAATATATAAAAATCAGCTATGGTCTATATTTATTTATTTTTATTTATTTATTTTCATTTATTTATTTATATACAAGAAGATACATTGGGTTTATGAGATTACAGCACCTTGAAGTTTTACATTCTTGTAAAGCCACTAGCACGCATAGCGTTTCGGGCAGATCATTAATCTAACATTGTATAAAAATACACTAAGAAAGTATAAAAATGCATTGTAAGAAAGTATAAAAAAAATACGTTGTACAGTGACACCTTGGCTTACGAATGCCCCTACTGTATTTACGAACTTTTCAGGTTATGAGCTCAAATTCTTTGGAAAATTTGAATCTGGTTACGAGCTTTGCCTCGGGAAACAAGTTTGTTTCCCCCATATGGCCAACCAAGCGAGTGGTGGCACGGAGATCGCGCCTCAGTTTACCCGTGCCTCCTGCCTAGTGACAATCGCGCCTGAATTTTTTGTAAAGAATTAGTTTTTTTCGGATTTTTGGGTATTTGAACATAAAAGTTATTATATATCTCGCCATGGGTCCCAAGAAAGCCAGTGGTAAGGTTCGAGCCAAGAAAACACATGTGAGAATGCCCATAGAGGAAAACAAAAGATCATTCGAAAACATGAAAAATGGCACACATGTTGTTGAACTAGCTAGGCAGTACAATAAATCTATATCAATGATATGCACTGTACTTGCTAAGACAAAGGACATTATGAGTGCTAAGTGGCAAAAGGCACATCAACAATCACAAAACAAAAAACACAAACACGTTAGGATGTTGAAAAGTTACTGGCAGACACTAGAAAATACTCATCCAGCTCAGAGTGAGCTTCAAAGTTCCTAACCTAACTATTCTAACCTTACGAAAGTTATCCTTGCTTAACCATTCCTGGCCTAGCCAAGCCTAGCCTATATTAACAAATATAATATTGAATATTTGTTTATATATAAGCCAACTCTGTGAATTGTGCAACTTCATCAGTTTGCCTACAGGAATATTTTTTGGATACTACAGTCCACAACGGTACATAAAAAGATCCACCCAGCTGCCAAAGTTATATACCTCAAAACAGTGGTGCATTTCAAAATACAGCCAGAACTAATCTGGCCCGAAATGGTATGCGTATTAGTGGCTTTAGGTATTGTATGTACTAGCTCTATCTATAAATCCAACATTATGTTTGTAAATCAACTACGTATGTACTTTTCCTGAATAAAATTTTATTAATAATCAGAGAAGAATGGTGGGGGAGGGGCGGTTAGACACGCCACAAGAGGCAAATACAGAAAACATGTTTCACATACCAGAAGATTGTAACTTGCTTAGCTAAATGAATTGTGGGGTTCAGTCCCTGTGCCCATTATGTGCCTCTGTAACCCTTTCCACTACCGCCCACAAGATGGGTATGGGGTGCATAATAAATGAACTAAAACTAAAAAAAAAAAAAAACATACCAGATAATCCAATGTTGAAGGTTCCTCTCTGATCAACTGACTCATTGGAAAGCTTTTCTATTAACGCACACAACTCCCTGGCTACTTCTTCCTCCTTTTCGACAACTTTCCGAACAGTCTTGGAGACGGGAGGCGACATCGTCAGTGAATTCCTTGTACAGTGAGATGATCCCTCTCCCTCTCCTCCCTTCCTGCTCTGCCCAGTGGGGCTCCAACCCTGGCCTGGGGCCTGACAGGACGGAGTGTCTGACAGAGTTCGCCGAGGCAAGCAAGCTCCCACGATTACAAAGTGGCCGACATCGATGGAGGAGAAAGGCTGACTCTGTCTGTCTTCACCCAGTTGTGCTTGCCGGGGCTGTGCTCTGCTCTTTCGGCCCGCCTCTCAACTGTCAAACTTTTTTTCCACACGCGCACGTACGCATGAAGCAACCCGTAACAGCTGTCTTAACTCCCAGCAGGTACCAAATAAATGTTAGAAAACAGGGCCATCAGGGTGAAAGAAACCCTGTCCGTTTCTTTCCGCCATCGACGGGGATCGAACCCGGACTCTAGGATTACGAATCCTAAGCACTGTCTGTATTCACCTAGTTGTGTTTGTGCCGGTTGAGCTTTGCTCTTTCGGCCCGCCTCTCAACTGTCAGTCAACTGTTTATTAACTGTTTACTAAACTACTTCTGTCTGTCTGTCTCTGTCTCTCTGTCTCTGTCTGTCTCTGTCTGTCTGTCTCTCTGTCTGTCTGTCTCTCTGTCTCTCTGTCTGTCTGTCTCTCTGTCTGTCTCTCTCTCTGTCTGTCTCTCTCTGTCTCTCTCTCTCTCTCTGTCTGTCTGTCTGTCTGTCTGTCTGTCTGTCTGTCTGTCTGTCTGTCTGTCTGTCTGTCTGTCTGTCTGTCTGTCTGTCTGTCTGTCTCTCTCTCTCTCTCTCTCTCTCTCTCTCTCTCTCTCTCTCTCTCTCTCTCTCTCTCTCTCTCTCTCTCTCTCTCTCTCTCTCTCTCTCTCTCTCTCTCTCTCTCTCTCTCAACTGCCCAAAACAATGCTGAATTTAAATATTATATGACATTATATCACATTGATAATATAATATCAATGTGACATAAAATAATATCACATATTTGATATTATACCTTTATTGATATTATATCACATTATTGATATTATATCACAATAACGTGATATAGCACGTTATTGTGAGTGTGTGCATTGAAGCATTCTATTTCTTTGCGTCAGAGGTAGAACTGTTTGGATGACAGAGCCAGAGTGCGCGGGGAGAATTGTGTGAAACCCCGGTTATGCTTCAGTGGAAGCCTCGGGATCCTCTTGGGGGCAGTTGGGGATCCTCCAGGTTGCAACTCTCTTTAGCTATGTCGTGGTACAGTTGACTAGAGCGCGTCTGGGAACATCCAGCGCATAGGTTCGAACCCTTGTCAAGGCTCTTGTGGATTTGTTCATTTGATATATCACGTTATTGTAATTTTTGTGTGTATTATTATTATTGTTAGTTATTATTATTATTATTATTATTATAAACGATGGAACCGACTACCTGCCCAAACCGCAACTGCCCCAAAATTTGCTGAATTTAAAAATACAGCTCGATAAAATCAATAATAATAAATAATATTTCATTGTGTTAGGGGACAGGAAGCCTGAGAATATTCATACACGTTTGGCTCCTATCTATCCGGGTCACCCCCACCCCCAGGGTCGAATTACATATCCCCCCACCCCCAGAATGCAAACCCACAACAAGCTGACTCCTGAGTACCTACTTACTACTAGATGAAAAGGAAATATGCCCAACCATTTCCTTCTCACCCGGGATATGAACCAGGAATTCTCGATTATGCGTCGAAAATGAACCCGACGGAACTACCGGGACTCATTGATGAGGGTCATACCCTTCATTATCATTAGGACAAATGGGGAAGGGGGGCCTTTGACAAGTCGTCGGCTGCCTGTCCTCGTCGAGGCCAATAGATAGTGGCCCTCAGGTAAATCCAGGCAAATATCACTCTGATTCTAAATTCTGGGCGGAACGCGGAATTTAGCAGTCTCGTTGGCGAAGTGGTAACATACTCGAGCGCTCTGGCCTGGGTTCGTATCCTGGGGGAGGATTTACTTGGCGCCAATCCTTACCTGTAACCTTTGTTCACCCGGAGGCTTCTGGAGGTATTTGGCTGTTAAAGGATTTGGCGGGAAAAATTAGGATTAAGGGTTAATTGGTATATACAAGAGTTTTTACATTCTTGTAAAGCCACTATTACGCGTAGCGTTTCGGGCAAGGTCCTTAACCCTAATTTCCCCGGAATACGACCCCGCCGAATCGTTTAACAACCAGGTACCCATTCACTGCTGGGTGAACAGAGGCTACAGTTAAGGATTGGCGCCCGGTCAATCCTCCCCGGCCAGGATTCGAACCCAAGGCAAGGCGCTTGCGAAACGCCAGGCGAGTATCTTACCACTGCGCCACGGAGACTGCTCACAGGGTCTAGCCCGAAACGCTATGGGTGCTAGTGGCTGTACATTTCATGTTCTCCAGATTTTTTTTATCGGCGTTGATATTTTTTTGTATTGAGGCTGGTATTTTCTCCCCTAATTGTAAAAGGAGTCAGAAGTAGATTCTATGTATGACTAACCATCCTGTGAGATAGGAATATTAGATGAACTTACAGCTAGTTTTTTTATCTACACTATAATCTGCCCGATACGCTATGCTTGTTAGTGGCTTTACAAGAATGTGAAAACATCAGTGCTATGTGCTCTCTTAAACCCATTGTACCTTTTTGTATATATATATAAACAAATAAATAAAATAAATCCATAATCTTTCATATAGAATAGGGTAGCAGCACACCGCTGTACTCACCTAGTTGTGCTTGCGGGGGTTGAGCTCTGGCTCTTTGATCCCGCCTTGCAACTGTCAATCAACCGATGTACAGTTTCCTGAACCTATTGGGCTCTATCATATCTACACTTAAAACTGTGTATGGAGTCAGCCTCCACCACATCACTTCCTATAATGCATTCCGTTTGTTAACTACTCTAAAACAAAACAAAATCTTTGTCTCTGGGGCTCATTTGAGCACTCAATTTCCACCTATGTTCCCCAGTGCGTGTGCCCCTTGCGTAAAATAGTCTAACTTTATCTACCCTATCAATTCATTTGAGAATCTTGTATGTGGTGATCATGTCTCCCCTAGCTCCTGTCTTCTAGTGTCGTGAGGTTTAATTCCCGTAGTCTCTCCCCGTAGCTCATACCCCTCAGTTCGGGTTCTAGTCTGGTGGCAAACCTTTAAACTTTTCCAGTTTAGTCTTATGCTTGACTAGATATGGACTCCATGCTGGTGCCGCATACTCCAGGAATGGTCTGACATATGTGATATACAAAGTTCTGAATGATTCCATACAGAAATTTCTAAAGACCGTTCTTATGTTGGCCAACCTGGTAAATGCCGCTGAAGTTATCCTCTTGATATGGGCTTAAAGGGACAGGTTTGACGTGATATCAACCCCAAGTCTTTCTCTGATTCTTGTAGAATTTCATCTCCCAAATGATACCTTGTATCTGGCCTCTTGCTCCCTACACCTATCTTCATTACATTGAATTTGCTTGGGTTAAACTCTAACAACTATTTGTTGGACCATTCCTTCAGTTTGTCCAGGTCTTCTTAAAGCCTCAAGCAGTTCTCCTCTGTCTTAATCCTTCTCATAATTTTGGCATCGTCAGCAAACATTGAGAGGAATGAGTCTATACCCTCTGAGAGATCATTTACGTATATCAGAAACAGGATAGGTCCAAGTACAGAGCCCTGTTGGACTCCACTGGTGACTTCACGCCAATCTGAGGTCTCACCCCTCACTGTAACTATGTTTCCTTTTGCTTAGGTACTCCCTTATCCACTGGAGCACCCTACTAGTTACACCTGCCTGTTTCTCCAACTTATGCACCAGCCTCTTATGGGGTATTGTCAAAGGCTTTACGACAGTCCAAGAAAATGCAGTCCGCCCATCCTTCTCTTGGTTAATCTTTGTCACCTGACCGTAGAATTCTATTACGCCAGTGAGGCAAGATTTACCCTCCTTGAACCCATGTTGGTGGTTTGTCACGAAATCACTTCTCTCCAGATGTGTTACTAGGTATTTTCTCACGATCTTCTCCATCATCTTGCATGTCTGTCACCCTTTTTGTATATTGGAACCACATTAGCCGTCTTCTATATTCCTGATAGGTCTCCCGTCTCCAGTAACCTAATATACACTATGGAGAATGGCAAGCAAAGTGCTTCTGCACTCTCTTTCAATATCCATGGTGAGATTCTGTTTGAACCAACAGCCTTTCTTACGTCCAGATCCATCAGAGGTCTCTTGACCTCATGTTTTGTAAATTCGAACCCTTCCATGGCCGTCTGGTTTACTGCCACCTCTCCTAGCGCAGTGACCTCACCACTTTCTATTGTGAAGACCTCCTTGAACATCTTGTTGAGTTCTTCACACACCTCTTTGTCATTCTCTGTATACCTGTCCTCACCCGTTCTAAGTTTCATCACCTGTTCTTTCACTGTTGTTTTCCTCCTGATGTGACTGTGGAGTAGCTTTGGTTAGGTCTTGGCTTTATTTGCTATATAATTTTCAAAAATTTTCTCTGCATCTCTTCTCACACTAACATACTCATTCCTGGTTCACTGGTATCTCTTTGTGCTTTCTGGTGTTCGGGGGTGTATATTTATACACCTTTATAATAAAAATAGCTTTATAATAAAAATAGAATGTAAGAACTCTTATATAAATAAATAAAAAAACCGGGCCAGCAGGTCATTGCACCACACTAGAGAGAAACCCCCAGCGTTAGCAACCAATTACCGAGAAAATCATTCCCCCCGCTGTGCAAACGAGAGTGTGAGAGTGAGTGAGTGTGTGTGTGTGTGTGTGTGTGTGTTTACTAGTTGTGTTTTTGCGGGGGGTTGAGCTTTGCTCTTTCGGCCCGCCTCTCAACTGTCAATCAACTGTTTACTAACTACTTTTTTTTTTTAATTTCCCACCCCACACACACACACACACACCAGGAAGCAGCCCGTGACAGCTGACTAACTCCCAGGTACCTATTTACTGCTAGGTAACAGGGGCACTTAGGGTGAAAGAAACTTTGCCCATTTGTTTCTGCCTCGTGCGGGAATCGAACCCGCGCCACAGAATTACGAGTCCTGCGCGCTATCCACCAGGCTACGAGGCCCCTCGCTATCCACCAGGCTGTGTGAGGCCCCTGTGTGTGTGTGTGTGTGTAATTACCTAAGTGTAGTTACAGGATGAGAGCTACGCTCGTGGTGTCCCGTCTTCCCAGCACTCTTTGTCATATAACGCTTTGAAACTACTGACGGTCTTGGCCTCCACCACCTTCTCACTTAACTTGTTCCAACCGTCTACCACTCTATTTGCGAAGGTGAATTTTCTTATATTTCTTCGGCATCTGTGTTTAGCTAGTTTAAATCTATGA